ACATACATATATATATATATATATATATGTATGTATATATATATATACACATTAGGTTGTGAAGCGTCTTGCCTGATTGAAGTATGTTAGTTCCACGCAATCTCCAGCACCTTGTTCCTATATACAAGGAATGAACATTTTACTTGTCGATTATATATATATATATATATATATATATATAATGTTTTTGTTCGAAATTATACGAAATTCAGCTTACTTGACTAGGATTATTGTCCAGTGTTGGAGAATACACCATCAAAGCAGAAGCAGAAGCAGAGTTCAGTGTTTCTCCATTGGAACCAGCCTTCAATATTGAAGCATTTAGGTGTGTATACATATGTATACTAATCGCTATATATGTTTTAAAAGTTTTAAAAATGGAGTTTTATACGTATATGTACGCTTACATATATCGGCATATAATATATAATACCTGGCTTGTGTTCTCAGCGATCCAACCATTAGCAGTGTCTTCAATAGTAATGGCTTCAAGAAAGTTGTCCATTCCAAAGGGCGATTCCTCTGGTTCAACATTCTGAGAACTCGTTTCCACTTGCACCTGCAGACACAAGACCAGACATGGGCTCGAGTTTACGGTTCAGACAAAACATGCATTTATCGAAGTATGATGAAAACTACATCTATACATACACATATATATATATATATACCTGGTTGTGATTGAACTGGAAGTTACTTGCATCACAAGGTAACTCGGCATGGCGGTGTTCTCCGCTGAGTTGGGTTTGGTAAGGCTGTTTGTTCGGCTTGTCAAATTCAGGAAAGACAAAGTCGACTTGCCCAAGTCGGTTCGCGATATTGCCTTGTGACTGACCCATGTTTTCGGTTATTACTGCATTTCTCAAGAAGGGTTGCAGGTGAGAAAATAGAGAAGCCGAAGAAGAGGAAGAAGAAGAAGAATGCTGATGAGCAGAGAGATGGCTAAATCCCTGACGGAGGTGATGAGTTGATGAACTTGCATAGCCATTGAAATTGTTGTTGAGGTTCCTGTTCATATAACCGTTGCCCCGGCCGAGAGAACTATCGTTGGTATTGGCATTAGCATTACCCTGAATCGGTCCGAGTCCGATGAGATCTCCCCTCTCATTCATCCTGATTCCTGCATATACAGTGCCATTGTAGCTTCTAGGTTTCGGGTTCGGGTTCAGACCAGAACTGGTGCTTGTACCATACTGTAATCCAATCCCATGAGAGTGAGATGTCTGACCGATTCTTCCGGGATTCATCCCCATTTGGAAAAGGCCTCTCCTTTCTCCGTTTTGAGGGAGAAAACTCGGTGTCTGAGTCGTTGTAGCCGAGTTATAGAAAGGGATGTTTCCCATTTTGGGCAATAATGATGTTGATCCAACTCGGTTCCGGTCATAGGAGGAGTGGTTCAGGTTGCTGTAGGGATAGGGATTCTGAGTCTTCTGACCAATGTTGTTGTTGGTCATGAGGAGCCTGGACTGTCCGAGACATAACCCGAGTTCCGAGTTGTAGGGTCTGTGACTCAGTGATGATGTGCCGTACGGTGCGTTATGGTTGTAGTACGGGAGCGATGAGTTAAGGTGGCCGTAGGCAAAGTTGGAGCTCATGACTCTGTTCGACATCGAGCCTGATTGCATTGCTCCTCTCTCAGCCACTTTCTTCAAGAAAATCCTATATTTCTGTGTACACCATTCAAAAGCTTGCAAGTTATACATACATACATACATACACACACAACACATACATACATACATACATACATACATACATACATACATACATACATACATACATACATACATACATACATACATACATACATACATACATACATACATATTGTTGGAAATAATCTTGTTATTGAAAAAATTTTAGATTTGTTTTGTTATATTTGAACAAAAAAACGGTGTTTGGTTGATACTTGCGTTAAAAACAAGATTAAAAGGGAGAATGTTGGAAATAATCTTATTATTGAAAAAATTTTAAATTTGTTTTGTTTTATTTGAACAAAAAAAATATTATTTAAAATCAATAGGACAAATGAAGTAGTGGCAATGATTTGTGTGGATTTAGTGTTTTATTTATAAGTTCAATAGTTTTTAGAAAAATAATATAAATAAGGTATAAGAATTTTGGAAAAATCCTCCTCACCTCTCAATATTTTCTCCTTAGTACATTATTTGTTTTCTTTTTCATAAAATTATATTAAATTTTATAGCATGTGTGTATATGTGTGTATGTGTGTATATAGAGGTAGGAGAAGTGAAACCTGTAAATGGCTGGCGATGTTTTCTCTGGTTAGGCCAGGCACGCTCATGAACTCCAGAATCTTCTTCGGCACAGCCTCTTCACAAAACCAAACATTACATGCTCATCAGCTTGTGTATGTACACACATATATACATACATACATACATATACACACAGTCAGACACACATACATACATGTATACATATACGTTCTCACATATGCACGAGTGCTTGCACACATATACATATACACACCGCAAGAATCATGTGTAATTAATGTTTATACAACATTTTAAACAAACACCCAAAGTTTCGGATAGTTTAATAGGTGAAACGGAGTATTTAGCGTTTATCCTATCCACCCGAGTTCGAATCTCAAATTTGGGAAAAGTGATTCACGTAAACTTTTCTATTCTCTATATTTATCGAGTCAGGATACCCAATTACCAAAAAAAATAAACTATACGCATCGAATAAACATAAATGGAGAGAAAATTTTATAATAAAGAAGAAAAATAAAGATCATTAAGATGAGACTTACTGTCGAGACCAATATGTCTTATGGCTTGCAAGAAGAGGTTGTGAAGAGAATTTGTCCAAACAACCTTGGCCTTTTTCGGGGCTGAAGGCCGGGAATCAGCATCACCATCACCATCACCATCACCATCATCATCACCATCATCATCACCGTCGTCATCACCATCATCACCGAAGCTATCAGCTGCTTTTCTCTTCTTCTTATCTTCCCCCGAACCACCATCAACGTTATGATCTACCTTATCGCTGTCGTCGTCGTTTAGGGTTGACCCGGTGTAGGGTTTCCTACCCAAACCCTTCGTCCCGTCGGAAGCAACTGCGCCCTTACAAGACGACGAAACAGCAACGGCGCTGTCGTTGCCGTTGTCGTCGTCTCCTCCGTCGACGGACATGGACTTGCACCTCTTCTTGGATTCTAGGGCACATCTCCAAATCGTGGCGAGGTCCTTGGGCTTGACGGGCTTCGCGATGAAACACATGCCTCCATTCGAGATGGTCTCTCGTTCGATTTCGTTGCTAATGTCCGATGACATCACTGTAAGCAATTGCGATTGGGGAAAATGCATATTCGAAAAGCATAGATAATGTTACGGGCGTCGAATTGAGGGAATAAAAGGGAAAAACATATGCAAATAAGCGTCGCTCGAGTGCAAAAAGGAATGCTACAGGTAATGTTTAATTGCGTTTGCTCGACCAAAATTCCATCTATTCGCATATTTATCATTGTAAATCCGCCTATATGGAATATATAGTTGGACAATACCATTTTTACCAAATTAAAAAAATAATGTATCAAATTATTTAACCCACGACCGGTAGTTTTCCAGCTGTATAATTTGATGTCATTGAGAGAATCGTGAAAGTTTATCTTATAATAAATTTTAAAAAAAAAATAAAATCTTACCCACGACCGGTAGTTTTCCGAATTCTTGATCGATAACTCGGGTCAATTCAACCCCGTTCATGCCAGGCATGTGATAGTCCGTGATAACGATATCGATATTATCACGTTGTATCTGAAGAACTGACAACGCTTCTCGAGAGTTTTTCGCGGGTGTTACCGTTATTTCCGTTATCGATGAATCTAAAAAGTTTGAAAATAAAAATGAAAATATTATAGAAAAATGTTTATTAAGAGATAAAGAACGGTAAATATATACACACATAATATAAAGATGTACAAAATTATAAATTTTGTAGTCCAAAATTTTCAAAATGAAATTAAACAGAATTGAATAGAAATCACCCACATCATTTTAAAACATTGTATATAATTTATTCTTCTTAAAATAATTTGTCGAGTTTATAAAAACAAAAGTACGATGGGATTTGAACAAGCAAAAAATTGAAAGAAAATCTGAACAATTACCGATTAGATGATTGGATGCATTCATATCATTAGAACCCTAGCCGGAAATATAAAAAGTTCAAATTGAATGCATAAACTTCTAGATCTATTACATGCAAAAAAATATTGGTTATTAGATATTCATATAGAAAAACATTTGAAAATTTCTACAAGGCGTGATGAAAACAATTACAAAATCAATTGACTTGAAAAACAAATATATAACTATATATTATCATAAAAAGTTACAAATCTATAAAATTTGAAGGAAATGATCTTACCTTTATATTTTGGAGTCTTAAGCATAGTTGAAACAATTGAAAGAACTGTTGGATCATCATCGACGAGTAGAACAGTTAAGTTTAAGACAGAATTCTTGCTATTGAAAGACTGATCAAAAACCATTTTATGATTCTTTTTCTCTATAAAAATATTTAGGAATTTATATGAGAAAATTTTGGGTATACAAGTATTATATAGACTCCGGAAGAAATTTGAAAGATGAAGATTTTGGAAGCATTGCATTGGTTTGCATATATGTGTATATATATATATAAGTAAATAAAAGGAGAAAACTAAAAAAGGTATTGAAAGATAAATACGAACGTTCTTTGATATTTTATTTGTTATATTATTATTATATTATTATTACTTTCTTTGGATGGAAAATATGAAAAGGCTGTGAAAAAGTTAGGAAAATGAAAAGAGATACGCAGCAAAACCAGCAATCTTTGAAAATATTTTGTGTGCTAATTTATGTAAAATATCTGGATTAATGTAATACACCTTAATGAAATTTACTAAACTAATAATTTTTTTTATTTTTTATAAAAGATTTGAATATCTTTTCGTTCAATGAATGTTTTTGTTTATTTTCCAGTTGAGGATGGATTTTCTAATAGATTTTTTTACATTTTTTTTAAGATTTACTCTAAAATGAGCAAAAAATCAGAATTTTGAGAATTTTCAAATGCAAATGTCTCATTTTGGAATGTAGATGAAATGCTCTATATTTTTATAGATTGGTTGCTACAAAACTTATATAATCTTTTACATTCTCAAGTCAGATTGTGTAAAATAAATCAATATATTTTATTTGAGTTTTTGAAATAAAAATATTTTATAAAGTAATTTAGAGAATCTTTTAACAATATATGGGTTTTATATATATCTATATATATATATATATATATATATATATCTATATATATATATATATATCTTTATAAACACTAAACAAAAGTAATATACAACCATAAATTAAGTAACAAAAAATATGATAATAACGTATAATTGAAAAAATTATATATTATAACTAATAATTTTAAAATTAATGATTATATTGTTAGAAAATGTTAAAAACTGAAATCGCAACAAGAACAAAGGATGTAAACCGTGGGTTTTTTCCACCGTACCAAATCATGAATAAATAGTTACGACAATAGTATCAAAACTGGTTTTCAATAATAGAAATAATTGAAGTTCTCAAACTTAAACAATACAATTAGCGATATTAATAACAAAACAATTACAGTAAATAATGTCATACAGTATACAATTTCAGTTCTGGATAGAAATCATTTTAGATAAATGAAATACAAGAAAATTTTCGAATTTAAAAAAAATAAGAAAATAGATATTACATAATGGATTTTAAATTTTAAATTTAGAATTATGTGATAATTAAAATATTAAATAAATGATAGATATGATAATGTCATAATTTGAATCATTGTTGTTTATTACACATACGCGATACAACAATTGAATAATATTTTCTCGATGATTTTAACAAAAGGACAGCCGATATATAATAAAATCATATAACTAAAAAATGTGATACCACAGATTGAATAACGAAAAAGTAAATCACTTGATACAGATGGTTTTACTTTTACGGTTTTAGTTCAAAGCTATATATTATATGGTAATTAATGGTCTAAAACATTAATTATATTATAGTTCGGTTTTTTTTTTAATATACGTACAATACTAAAAATTTTGAAAGTAACGTATAAAATGAATTAGCTTATCAATTTAAATGAGTCGGTACTTATTTATACCTAATACAAGATAATTTAGAAATAATTAATTATAATTTATGGACAACGAATAACAATAGTGTTAATAAAAGAGATATTCGAAAGTGGAAATTTCTTCATGTAAAATAAATATTGTCCAATTAAACAGTATATAATAAAGAAAAAAATATTTTAAATTTTAAATTAAAACATATAAAATTGATTTCGATTATGAGATTATCTTGTAACCCAATTAGTAAGCATTTGTTGAGCATCACCGTAAAAAGGACACGTGTCCAAATACAGGGTAGAATTCGCCATGCTAAATAAGGACAGAAAAGATTAATTTTGGGAAAAAGATTCCAGATTCGCTCATAAATTGTTATTTAATGTTCATTAATAAATTTATTTTCTTCTAGTTTTTTTTAATTAAACAGATAAAGACAAAGTCACCAACCAGTTTTAAAACTGTGTGCTGTGACTGTCAACTGTTTAACAAAAACTACTGTTTTATATAATCAGTACAAAATCAAATATTATCATAAGAGAAATTTTATTTCCAAATTAAAGCAAAGCAAAAATAAATATTATTAATTTGGGCAGCCAATATATATATATATATATATATATATATATATATAACTAGTCAAAGATTGAGCGTTTTAAAAAAATCCAGTCAAAACAATCAAAAGATACAAGACTGCTCGTAAGTGACTTACAAAAACTCGAACTTCAAATATTTTCATTGTGTTATTATTAATGATAACCCTTTTAATTTAATTATATAGAATCGGTTTTTAATTTAATTAGAATATTTAACAAATTTATATTTATTTTATTTTATTAATGATAGGAAGAGGTTTTATATTATATATACATATCATAATTTGTTTCGTAGAAGTTTTATTATAATGAAAAAATTGAAACCAAATAAAAATATAACATATGTAATTATAATATTATGTAAATTTTTTAGACTTTCTAGAACTAAACCAAGAAACATAGATTTTCCGTTATTAACAAAGTTCATCACTTAACAGACCAACGGTAATCAAAGAGAATCTGAATAATTAAAAAAGATAATCTAATAAGAAAAATATTAAAATTGGACCATAATAAAAACCTAATACGTTTCGTTATCGTGGAAGCCAGGGCTGGGCGTTTCGGGTCAACAAAAAATCATAAGGTTGACTTTTAGTGGCCAAATAAAAAAAATAAGGTTACCGTTTATCTATAAATTTAATTTCGTCGTATACAGTAAACGGTGCGTTGTGATGGAAAGAGAGACAAAATGGCATAGACAAAGACTAATTAAATAGGGTAAATTCAAATGAACAAAACAGCAAAGTGATACTCCTCCGACACAGTTCGTTTCCTCTGACGGCAACTCTCCGGTCGACTGACGGCCGGAGAGGGGAAAAGGACGAAGAGCAATACCTGAAAACCCGAATTTTTACAACAGAAGAAGATGACAAATTACTATATTGTGCGGCGGTTTCTTCTATGAAAACACCTAAATAAATAACCTCAAATAACACCAAATAACCGTAGAGGGACGGTAAATCGCACACCCCGATAAAAATGGAGAGGAAACTCATGAAGATGAATGCCCTTAGCTTCCACCGAGACGGGTGAGACGTGATGGCCGCTCATCCGCCCCATAGTGTAAATTCTACAGCTCTCATCGCCAATGTAACTTTCCATTGTAGCTCTACGGGAGTTTAACAAGGAGTCATGCTAAAAAAACTTATTTTTGACATCAATACTTACCCGAATTGGTTGTCACTGATTTAGTTTAGGGGCTAAACGTTTAGGGTTTTGCTTGAATCATGGTTATCCCTACCGGCGAGGATATGCAAACAGAAAGAGGTACTAAGAAGGTAAGATTCCGAGTTTAGATGGAAATAGAAACATAACATATTGTAGTCAAGGTTGTAGAAGTTGAGGTAGAGAATGTGCCTTGCCATAAACACGATAATAAGGGCAGCTACCATGACTTTTGTAGACTCGTCGCGTATGTTGAAAACTCGGTGATTGCATGAGTAAGTGAAATCCTGAGAAGGGTTGCCGCCGGCCGAGGAGTAATCTAGTCTCTTTTTCAGCCCAAAATCCCTAAAATGAATATGAAAAATCTCGGAAGAGAGAAAACCACAAATCAGAAAGTTAAAAAAACAGAAATGAGAGCTATATAGCCAAAAGAAGGTGAAGGGACTCTGTAAACATGTCAGAGATGAATAGTGTATCAAGAATTTTTGGTGTTCTTTCTCGCCGGACTTTGAAATAATCTCTATTTGGAAAATCGAGAAATGGGCATTTTGGTTTTAGAATAGGAAATATGAGATGCATAATTTTGGGACAATGAAGCGAGTATGGAAAGGGAAAAGTCCCCGGAAAAATATTGAACTTACTAAAATATATATAATAAAACCTTCAACTTGTAAAATTGTCTACAAATAACTAGACTTGCAACACCATTACGAAGGAAACCGTCAACTTATCCATTGCTTCTCTAAAAAAACGTTACCGATTTGACCAAATTTTCATGTGATTGGGAATACACGTGTTTGCCGAATGCTGATGTCATCTTATACACGTCAATAATTTTAAGTTAAAATATGACACATCAACAATTTTCTTAATTTGTGGAAACCAGTTTGAGAAGATACCAAACCGAGTTTTAATTTTAAAAACAAACCGGAAATATAGAGAATCACAGACCTGATGAAGAAAAAATCAGGAAAAAAAACCTTTTACCTATTGTGGCAACCACTACTCCAGAATAAGGAGTTCATTATTACAAGGGCATAAATGTGCATCAATCCATTGTACTTGTAGTAGGTTTTCCTGTCCGATCGGAGGGGCAATTTGTAGTAGATGAGGATAAAATACGATACCCATCCATGAAACTGTATACCAAGTGCAAGAGCACATAGAGCAATAGAGAAAGGTTCTTTACGACGTTTAGTCGTACAAATTCTAATACCATATTAGAGAATGTTTTTTATTTTGATGACGGCAAGATACATGCTAATATATAGTAAAATATAATAGAATATTTTAGATATAATATTTAGGGTAAATCATAACCATATTAATGATAATATATTCCTATACCTAATGACATGAAGAACAATGATGTTAAGAATGAAAGTACTGCCCTTGCAAGATTATACCGATACTTTCTGCTTTAGAGCAAAGATCAGATGTAGATTGAGAAACCTAGATTTCGTAAACACGTTTAAGTGGCCATTTGTAATGGTACTTGATAGGATCCTCTCCATGTTTCTTCCTTTTTAGATATCATGCATTCGTACGGACAATCACTTTGGCAATCCTTGCGTAAACCCGAACTCAAGTTCTATAGAATCGGGTTTCGGACTTAGTTGTATATAATTGAAATAATTCGGAATGATATGAATCTGAATTCAAAAACTTCGAGCTAGATGCGGGCTCGTACCGGACCAAAACGGACCAACCGGTTTGACACCCCTGAATGTACATACAAACGCATGCATATAACGAATTAGGATCTTTTTGGGCTTGTGATATCGTGTTCTTTGTTGGGGGACTTAATGGGTTTGTACTTTTTATGGTTTATTAGACCTGAAGCCCAACCTCTCTGTTCCTTTTTCCACTGCTTAAGCCGTTGAATTATTTATGGGCCTATGAGGCCCAAACAAAGTCCAGTAAAAAATGGCCCATTACAGTGAATTGAATATTGATGTAATGTGGTGATAGTACGTTGGCATTCGGTTAAAAGCGAAGCAATCCCAACCGGATAAAGTCCCAATAACATTTGAATCATATAAATAATCGAAGTGATATCAATTTTCTAAAATCGAAAAATTATAATCCGACTCAAAAATGAAAATAACAAAAATCATTTTATAAATGAGTATTTTTTTAATCTATCAAAGCTGAACAAAAATCAAATCCAAAAAATATGATTTAAAAATAAATCCAGATATTTTTTAAAACTAAAAAGTTGGAATCCAAAATAACCAAACCGAACTGTCCCACGGTGACTACGTAATGAGCGCGTGTTTTTCAATGCATCATTTACTGACTTTTTTTTTTTATAATCCGTGGTTTAAGAAAATTAATGAATTTAAAGCAAGTGATTTTTTTAATAATCCGAAAATTTATTGAATCGTTTCGACCCAATTATATCTTCCAAAATATTAGAGAAGTTTATGTAAATATCTGTCCAAGTGAAAGAGATTTATTTTGTCCCTAAAGAGTTGAGCCACCTAATCATTGGTTAAAGCATGTAAATTTCGAACTTGCATGAATGAATTAACGTTCGGATTTGTAGCGTTTTAACGATGGTTACGATGAATCGTGTGTGTGTATATATATATATATATATGATGGCTACTTCGCAGTGGAGACGTCGTGGAATATACGTATAGCATGGGGACAATTAATGTAGACATATATTTACATTTAACCCCAAAATAAAACTTAACGTAGACATCGGACCATATGACTTAGTCGTGTCGTTGGTCCAACCGTTGGCCTTTTGTGTTCGCGCGTCATTAAGAAAGATGCCTTTTTATTTCACCTATTATATATTTTCTCCATTTTTCATAAATCAATACAAATTATTTTTTCTCCATTTTTTATATATTTTTATAACGTACTTGCTACGTTGTTGCTGAAATAGGATATAGGTGAAGAAGAGACTTGCACAACGGTCATTACCATAATGACTCGTTGCTATCGATATGGTTCTAAATGTTCGAGGGGTTCTAGTTCATTGCTAAACTCTTATTTTTCTGGGGAAATGCTTATTTTGCGTGCTTTATGTACTGGAAACCTATGATTGGAGAGGATCATGACACCCATTTGTAAAAATATTTCAAATTGTAATATTTACGTTTTAACAAAAAAAAATTAAAATGATGTATCATTTATCTTTTTTTTTCCCAAATTTACTGAGTATAATATTAGTTAGAAATAACCACCCCGAATTGGTGAGGTGGACAAAAATTTTCAAGGAGGAAATGTGATTTGAAGTCATATATTACAGGATCGAGGTTAACTAATCATAAGGGTAGTTTTAATTTAGACTTAGAGTTAGGAATGGTTGCATATAATTTTATTTTTATTTATGATTAACAAACTTTTCTATGGAAATATAAATAATTATTTTCCATAACCATGTCTTTGCTTTATATTCTCATGATAACGCCTGACCCAGTTCGTAGCAAATATTTTCGCAGAGATGGATCCAATTATCAAATACCAAATGTTCTTTCACGTCCATTGACCTAAACAGAGGAAACCGAAAAGACGAAAATACCCTCCAACCAATCCGTCTCTCCCTCCCGAATGCATATATAATGAACGCGACCCTCGTACGCCAAACAAAAAACCAAAGCTTGAAAGGAATGAAAGCTCCAAGAAGGGCTTCGGACATAACAGCATGGTGCTCTGCTGTTGTGCTGCTGTCTCTGATACTGTTGGGTTCCATACGGGAGAACATAGCTTCTGAATCAATCAGAGGGTCTCAGTTTTCCGACCGTCCCTGCGAGGAGATCTACGTTGTAGGAGAAGGAGAAACGCTCCACACCATCGGCGAAAAATGCGGCGACCCGTTTATCGTGGAGCGAAACCCTCATATCCATGATCCGGACGATGTCTTTCCCGGTCTTGTCCTCAAGATCACGCCTTTTAACTTACCAAGAAGAAGTCTCTAAGACGAATCTTTCCCCTGAATCTCGTTTTTTTTTTAAAAAAAAATTCCATGTATGTATATAACTTCACCAAAGAAAAATGAGAAACAGAGGGAGAGAATAGAGTATAGCATGATTTTGAGGTCATTCTTGTCACTCTTTAAAATTTTGGGGTATAAATGCTAATTAGTAAAACATTCGGTGTCCAATGTAAAAGTTATAGGTGTCTACACGGCAATGCATGTTTACTACACACGTGCGTATCGATTGAATGCTGGCTAACCATGGTATTTTATTATGAAGATGCTAATTAGTTTATTATATCAAATTAGTAAACTTTTTTAATAAATAAAGTAAAATTAATTAGAGAATAATTAAGAGGAAAGAGGAGAATATATGTGATGCTGATTGTTAATTAGAGTAACCTATCTAATTAAGAAAAAAAGTGTGTTGTCGTCTTGGCCGTTGAAACTAAAAGCAAGTGCCATCAGACTCATTCTATCTACCAAACGACGAAAATCCACCGACTATTCCACAAAATCGAACGCTATCATCATCCCATCATCATCATCATCATCATCATCATCATCATCATCATCATCATCATCATTATCAAAATTCCAAAACTGGGCCTTAAGCCCAATAATATAAAAGAACACTCCAATCTGTTTTTTTTCTAATTTGGGCCTTTTCACATGGACCAACATTGGGCTTTTTCGCTTTGACACATTATTATTATTATTATCATTAATTTTTTTGGTATGTATGTATTATTATTATTATTATTATTGACTGTAATGTTCTTCTGTCAACTGCGTATATGTGCTTACGATTACAGACTTTCCATTAAATGTTTAGAAAGAAAATAGTAAATGCCAACCAAACGAAGACACATAGGAGAGAGGCAAATTCTCATTGGTTGGCCCTCGTGTCATCGTACGATGATGTCTGACGCACCTTTTGATACTGTTTCGTTTTTTTTAATTAAATATTATTGTATTAGTCTCATATATAAATCGTAAACATAAAAGAAAATATATTACTCAATAGAAACTTGCCACGTATCACCTCGGCTTTTCTAATTCTTGGGTTTACGAAATCTTTCCAATGCTGACTCGCCACGTTTCCTTGTTTCCGAGATTCCCGATATCTTCTTATACGTGATTCCTTGAGCGATTTTATTTAAAAAAAATAGAATATCTTTATTACGTAATCACAAAGTTCAAAACTTGTGTTTATTGTGACAAAAAATTGCGGTTCTCAAACATTGTTTATAAAAAAAAAACGAAAACTAAATTTACATTTAACTAAATGATTACATTTAACAAAATGATACTAGTTTAGTAGTATCAATATTTGATTGATTTTTTTTTAATTTTTCTTTTCTTAAAGCTCATCAATAATGTAATGGAAAAAGAAAGTGAGACCACTAAAAAAAATCAAAGAATATATTACGGTGTTCCTTCTCTCTCATTGTTCTCGTATTTTCTATTTTAGTGGAGCCTTTCTGAAATTCCTCTTTTTATTTTTCATTAATTTTACCAAAACAAGGTAATGCCACAAATCTTTCCTGATTTTATATATTTTTAATCATGCTTAAGACACTATAATATTTTAAAGCAGCCACCATTATCTTAGTCATTAAAGTTGGTATACCATAATTAGTTCACAAGGTAGGAATCCAGAGGAACAAAATATGTATTAAAGTGACAGAATGTTATATTGTCTTTGTTCACACCGTTAGATAACGTAAATTATTTCTGGAATGAAAAATTTGAGAAAAAAATAAAAGAGATTACAAACAATATTTACATCTCGTATATCAAAACTTTAGGAAAAATCCTAAAACAAACACTCAATTTTTCAATTTTGAAAAAAAAATACTGAATTTTATTTTTTATCAAATAAATATTAAACTTTTTAAATAAATCTAAAAAAACAGATCTAAAAAATACATGAACTTTTATAAGATTATATAAAAAAAATACTGAACTTTTTTAGTAATCCAAAAAAATATACGAACTTTCTTCGATTATAAAAAAACTAAGTAAAATAATTTGATGTGTTATATCTTCTTGTGATACGTTAGTCATTTTGTTTATTTTGACAATCGTAGAAAAATTAAGTGTTTGTTTTGTCAAAATTTAAGGTTTAGTGTTTTTTTATCAAAATTTGAGAGGAGTGTTTTTTTTGGATTTTCCCGAAATTTTATCACGTTTTTAATGCAATCAAAGGGGTCTTATTCGTTAAAAAAAAGGTAATATTGTGGGAAGTTATATATATATATATATATATATGGATATACACACACACAACATAAAAACATTTGCAAATGGGATTTCTTTTTCTTCTAGGGTTTTGTGGCCTGAGAAGAGAAGAGAGTGTTATCCACATATAAACCAATAAAAACGAATATAAAGGGGGGAAAAATCTCATCTTTCCTTTCTCACCTCAGATCTTTCTAGGGTTTCTGACAAAAACAAAACCTTTTTTCCTTTCCATTTTTGTTGATTTTCATTCCATTTCTTGGCCTCAACTTTAATTTCCTTTCCCGTTACTCGCCTCAGTATTTCCCTGGGAAATTATCCGGAATCTGTCGCTTTCTCGGGAAAAATTTTCTGTCTATCGACAAAAACGGAACCCTTCCTGAGAAATTCTCGTTCACTACTTTACTGGGTCTCGTCTTCTTGATCTTCCCGGCGATATTTCTTCTTGGCCAACTTCTCTCCGGTGAGATCTGTTTTTCGCTTTATCTTTTCTTTGACTTCGTTCTTGATCTTGCTAGGGTTCCGATCTTTGTGGATCTTGTAGCAGGAAGAAGAAAGAAATGGTGAGGGGAAAAATTGAGATGAAGAAAATCGAAAACGCGACGAGCCGACAAGTGACGTTCTCGAAACGGCGAAACGGATTGTTGAAGAAAGCTTACGAGCTCTCAGTTCTTTGCGATGCCGAAGTCTCCGCCATCATCTTTTCTCAGAAAGGCAGACTCTTCGAGTTCTCAAGCTCTGAGTAAGATTCTCCCTTCTTTTTCTTGATCTCTCTCTCTCTCTCTCTCTCTCTGATTTGATCTTGTTTTTCCAATTCTTTTCTTTTTAATCTCGTGAGCTTTTTTTTTAAAAAAAAAAATCTGTTTGGTAATACGTCTAGTCTGAGATTTTTCAGAGTCATGAGTGAATAAGGCTACACAGCGTTAGACTTTGCGTTGTACTACAAGATTCTTTCTCTGAACCCTAAAGATTTTATTTACTGCATTTTCTTGCTTCTCCTATTGTTTTTGTTTTTCAAACTCCTTTTTCGCTTATTCATTTTTGAAACACCCTTTTTATTTTAATGTGTGAATATAAGTATTGTTTAATTAGGGTTCCCAAAATGTTCTTGAAGAATGAACATGAAACAACATTGGAACTTTGTAAGAAAATTACAACCCCACACACGCACTAGTAGGCGAGTTCCGTACCAAACTGCACGTTCTTTTTTTACCTCCCCAAATTTCAATTATTTTAAACCACAGATTTGGATTATATCTCTAATTGCATTTCCCTTTTTTTTAATTGCGTCTTACCAATTAGTCTGTTGGATTGAAAACGTATCGATTAATTGTTCATATGTACATATATTTTATTAGAATATGTAGTTAGGATTAGTATAAATACGTTTTGTATGGATCATTTCATATTAATCAACACAGAAATTATTCCCAAATCTCTTTTCCAGGCTCTGATACCATATTGAATTCTAGAGAGAATTCAGAAATGGAAAAGAGATTTGGGAATAATTTCTGTGTTGATTAATATGAAATGATCCATACAAAACGTATTTATACTAATCCTAACTACATATTCTAATACGCCCCCACAAGATGAAAGTGATTAACTTTCATCTTGGACACATACAAAACGTATTTATACTAATCCTAACTACATATTCTAATATATTTGTAGATGCATTCAGGGACTGGTTGATCTTACTGCTAAAACCAATCGAAATAATTTATGATATATGGAAAACATATGGTTTAAATGAAATCAATTTGGTGTCAGTCATCTGATTAGGCAGATTTCATTATCCGTGGCCGACGAATTTTTTTGTGTGTATGGTCATGCGAACAAACCAAAGTGTACAAATACCATTAATTGTTGAAACCAAAAAAAAAAAGGGAAAATGGAATTGAGTGTACAATTGTTACATGATCCTGGTCAACATAATCTTAGCATTTCATCTTCATTAATTATTATATATATATATATATATAGTTATATACATGTATACATACTGACATTAGCCTTGAATACATGCCTTAGGGGGCTTGTTTTGACAAACAATATTCAGTCCTATCTACATTTATCTAACAAGGGTAAAGGTATATGCTGTCTAAAATTTCCTTTGTATAAAAGCATTGGGGATTTGGATGACCAAAAAGGAATCATTTGGGTGTTATACACATACATGTACTTACAGTCCCACTAACATATTGTGCGTCGATGCGTGTGATCAGCACGGAGAAGACCATCGAACGTTACCGTAAGTGCACAGATTATCATCAGATCAGCAAGCCCGACACAGAAAATTGCGTACAAGTACGTTTCGCGATTATTAAAATGCTATCTGAATTATACACTTCATGCCTTTCTATTTCCCTTTCAGACACATATGAAGCAGTTCTCTGTATAAAAGAGACCGTATGATATGAATACAAAGGAAACAAACAGATGTTTTTGTAATTTAATCTATGTTGGCAATATATATATACACAAGATTTTTTTATTGGTATGTTCTTTGGTTACAATATTGTAGCGATTGAAGCAAGAAACGACAAGCATGATGAGAAAGATCGAGCTCCTTGAACTTCAGAAGCGGTTTATGCCTTAGTCTCTCATTTGCCCATTCCTATATTGAAATGATTTTCTCAGCTCTTTTTGCACACACACACATATATATATATATATATATATATATATATATATATATATTAAATTTACTCGTAATAATCTCTCTTGTGTGGGCGTGTTTTAGAAGCGGTTTATGCCTTAGTCTCTCATTTGCCCATTCCTATATTGAAATGATTTTCTCAGCTCTTTTTGCACACACACACATATATATATATATATATATATATATATATATATATATATTAAATTTACTCGTAATAATCTATCTTGTGTGGCCGTGATTTAGGAAGCTATTGGGACAAGGCATTGCTTCGTGTTCCATAAACGAGCTTCATGAACTCGATAATCAGATTCAAAGAAGCTTAATCAATATCCGGGCAAGAAAGGTGAGTAGTAGGAACCAGCGGCGGACCCATAAAAATATTATGAACAAAATTAATTTGAACGGGGTATTTTATAATTTTATTCAAAGTTTTATAAATTCAATAAAGAAACCAAAGTTTTTTAATCAGATGAATGGTTCCATTGTGAGTATTCATTCATACGCATATACATATATATGAGATAAAAGGAAAAGCTTCAACACGTTTTCGCAGGCTCAGCTGTTCAACGAGCAGATGGAGAAACTAAAAGAAAAGGTATGCCGCAATCTTTATCTATGATTCCAAAAAAAAAAAAATCTTGCAGCTTTGAGTTAGAACAAGAAACCGAAACTAGTTGTCTTTCTCTTCACTGTCAGAGAGAATGATCCCGTCTTCGTGTTTCAGGAGAAAATGCTGTTAGAAGAGAACACCAAATTATGCCAAAAGGTGAAAAAAATTTATTTTGGGCCTGAATTTATAGCAGTTTTGGTAATTTTTACGAAGTTAAATACCGTATTTTACTGCAATTAGTGGTTGGTATACACTTATTTTATGACAGTATGGTAAGAATTCGTGGGAAGCTCGAGTTCAACGAGACGACTCACTGGTAACAACTCGGAGTTCGGAAGTAAAAACCGATTTGATCATCGGTTTACCGGAGAGATGTTCGTAGGAATATATTCCGGGATGGAGAATCATGTAAATTACAGCGAAAACATATTCAAATATGCGATGAACTCGGAAAGAAGAATAATATATCCCATGCTGTATTTGATGGTTTCGAATTGATTTATGTATAACCATAAAAGGAGAGAAGTTGCATGTTATATTTTTTGGTAGCGATTGTGTTTGTAACGAAATCTTCTGAAGTAATTCAGTATCTTATGCTTTTTGGTCTTCATTGCTTTCTTGGACTGTACATTTCATATCTGGCTATTGATTATTCCATTTTTTATGCATATATTTTTTTTTTATATATATTCATATATATAGGTAATACATTTTCAAGTTTTATGCTTTTTAAAGGTTTAATCGTTTTCTCGTTCACTTATTCATGTCTATTTGTGCCCTAAACAAGTCCAAAACCTCATAGTACTGTGTTTTTTAATTGGAATAAAGGCCCATGTATACATTTTGGGCCCAAAGTTTATCTTCTGAAAGCCCATATATTTTACCAATCAAATGGGCCTACTCAGGCCCAAATTGTGTAGAACAACTCGATTTAAATCCTCGGACAAAAGCTGTAATATATATATATATATATATTGTCAAATTATATTTAAATATAAACATTGTTTTCCAACTTAAGATGGTTATTAAATATTAGTCCTATGGTTTAGGGCATAAAAAGAAGCCCGCTTATACCCTCGCTTTGAATTTTGAAACTGGCCATCAGACATGGAACGTTGCTACAATTGATAATTCATTTTATAATTAAAGATTAAAATATAATAGAGGGTAATGAGTTTAGTCGGCTGGTTAGACCAACAATATAATATTTATTTATTGAAGGAATCTGTAAGGTTTGTTTTCCTTGAAAAGCGTTCCGAATAATAGGATATTATGTATATAATATACACCACATATTTATGTAATATCTATTGTAGCTTATATATTGGGATTGTCCGTCGAATTCTATCATCCTACGTAAAGATAAGTAAAAATAAATTCAACAGTTACATCTAAACGATATTTTTTTTTATATCGAAGTACAGAAAATATTTATTTTAAGTTTACTAAAAGAAATAGATATTTAAAGTAAATATTATTTGGAAAACTCTATTTTACAATTTCTCGGCTAATCAACCGAAAACATCCTCGTACGATACGACACAAGTTAGAGCCATGAACATATTGTTCTTTTTAACTTTAGAAGACTTTACTTGGTGCTTTCTAGGCTTCAAACCTTTTCATTTTTCTTTTTTTTTTAAAAAAAAAAATTTGTTATAACTTTATATTTTTCTTTTCCTTTTTTCGGGTTTCCCGTCAGGTTATCATGAAATTAACAAAAGAAAAGTAATTTATATTCTCTTTGATCGGTGTTACAAATTTTGAGCGGTGGTTCACCAAACTTGATGCCACTATCCTCTTTCAATTATAAAGATGTTGAGAAAAGAGCCCAAAGAAAGAAGTGTACGATTTCGACATAATTAAATACAGGAAAAATAAAAAATAATAATAATAACAATTAAAAGGTCTTATAAAAACAATAAACCATACGTACGACAGCAATGTACCCGTATCATTCAAGGTGTATATATATATATGAAATGGAAAAAGAATGTTTGCTTAGATTAGCTCCCTCCTTTTTCGAATTTGGAACAATATTAATATAAACCAACTCTTCCTTCATAAGCAATCATATATATATATATAACCTAAGATTCGATGGCCTCAAAGTTTCTTATTCATTAATATAAACCAACTGATAAATGATGAGACAAAAAAAAAATCTGGATTAGAGTCTCTATTTAGGGAGAATATTTTTCATTTTTCTTGGATATGTAATTAGGTCGAATGCGCGGTAAACTCTCGAATTAAAAAAACCTATATATATATATATATATACATTTATATAAATATTTGTGCCATGCATGTGTTTATACTATCGTATAGAGCCATATATATAGTATTAGATATTCCTATCTGGTTAAATGAGATCCAATGGTATAGATTTCATATTAAACAAGTAATAACCAGTCGATAAATTGGTCCATGGACTAAATTCTGAAAATATTATTGCCTTTTGTCCCTCGTCTCTAATTGAATCCTACTTGTAAACCGACTTATCTATTCAAAAACTCCAATTCATTTTCTAGATTTTCATTGATGGTTTCGTACAAAATTTCGTATTTTGTTTTTGCTTCGCACAACAAGTTGTGTACATATTTGTTCTTAAATCAAATATAATTTTGTTAATGATTATATTCTTTAATAAAGTGTGAACAAGTTATATAAATCATCAAATATAATGAAATTTCACAGAATACCAATAAATATAAATTCTTTCCCGCAGTTGTTGGAAGATTACACGGAATTTCATGTCTACATGGATTTAATAATTTCATGCAAGATTATGACTTATTTAATTTTTAGTAATGTTTTTTTTTGTTAAAAGATCATTTAATGGATTTTTGGTCAACCATATTAATTTCTCGGTATTAGGAAAGATCCTCCCCCATGTGACTTCACATCTTATAATCTTTACTGCTGATTTTGAATTTCTTGTTGAATGACCGACAGCTAATGTACTTCGACCCCAACTACGTATATTACAAATATTATGCGTATAAATCAAACTAATTGTAAGATAATAAAAACTATGTAAATAAATAACGTAGTTTTTTTGTTTTTTTAAATATTATAAAAAAGTCTAATCAAATATGAAGTATAGTTACATACGAAGTCCAATATTATATATATTTTCATTAGTTTCCAACAAATCATTCAAAATGATAAAAATAAAGCATAATAAGATTTTAATTTTCCGGTCCAACTTTTACTTTAATTTTATATGTTTATCTTGAAACCGAAATTACTAAATTTGTTGGCCATTACACTGAAATGTTTGACACGTTGCATTGGACCACCATACGAATAAGAAAATTCGAAATATTCCAACAAATCTAACCCAAAAACCAAATCTAATACCGAGAAATTTTTTTAAAAAAAATCAAACGGTGCTGAAACTTTCGGGATTTCGAACAACAATTTTTTTTTCCGTTTCAATTATTTTCTCCCCTTCAAAATATTTTTCGTTATCCAAGATTGTATACCTCAACCGATAAACAAATAATCAAAACTCATTCTCAACTCGGATTCGAATATTCATTTAGGTCGGAGAAATATTCATATAAACTTTTCCGATTCTCTATGTGAAATAGTCAGGACAAATAATGCCACGATAAACTTTCATATTATCTTAAAAAACATATATACGACATGCATGCATGCTGTCTCCATTAGGACATAGTTAGCTTTAATCTCCACGTACACACGTCTCGAGTCCATGCAGAATCTATCTTTCGTATTGTCTTTTTTACTAACTTTATACTAATATCAACTTTTTTTCAAAAAAAATTCCTTCTTCTTCTTCTTATAGTTCGCCAGTGTGCAGAATTATTTAAACTGCTTCAAGGCACAAACTCTCATGGCATAACAGGAACCAGACATGCAAGATTCTTCTTGGAGTATACGTACGTTTTTTGTTCTCATCGTATAATTCATAATCGTCTAAGGCTTTTGAAAATTAATCTCCACTTTGGTCTGTAAGAGAATATTTCACAGCTTTTTGTTGGTTGTTTTTATTTTATTTTATTTTTAATTTGATTTATAATTACGTAATAATTTTATTACGTATCGTCATTTCATTTTTTTTGTTTTAATTACGTGTTTGAATTTTCTCACCATATAGAACGCGTTGCCAATTATCTCTCTAACTCAATACTATGATCTAAATTAATTGATAAGTAGCGTACCTATTTATTCCGATACAAAATTTGTAAATAAATCTAAATCGAATTGATAAGGAAACCTTGATTACGTTAGATATGGACCTAATGTTGTATATATATATATAGGTTAAATGGTTTTCTCTTTGTGATTTGAGGATGGTGAATTAAAAATATTTAAAAATCCAACTATTCAGAAGTCAAACCACTCATAAAGATAATATTCTTCTCCTAGAATTATAATACATATAGGGTGTTAAAATACATTAAGAACACAAAAACTATTATGTTACATTACATTACCACTCCCCAAATTTTGAATTTTTACAAAAAAAAATTAAAAAAGGGCACCAAATTGAGAAAATCTCTACATGAAATAAAAGCCAATCACTTATAGACACATGTCAGATACGCCTACTTTCCACCACGTGGATGAAGTGGGTCCCATAATTTTAAGAGCATCTCATCACGTGACACTGACACCATTCCCAGAAACGACAGCGTTTGGTGACCCTGACGCAATCCATCGTCGTTTCGCTCACGAGCGTCTCGAGGATTTGCCTCTCGAGCTCCGTGACGACCGCTTCCCCTTCCTCTTCGAACGCCAACTGTCTCCGACGCTTCGTTTCCGGTAAGTCTCCGGCGACCAGAGCATCAATATCTCCGAGAACTTGACAGTCCGACAACGGGAACTCCCCGATTTTTCGACACAACTCGTCGATCAGCTCCGACCCGCGAAGATCTCGGCGATATAGAATTGGGTAATGGCCTACCCACGGTTTCATGTTCATGTGAGGCTTTAAGACATCGATGAGGATCTCGTCGGCTAAATGGAACAATAGTTTCCTATTATAACGGAGACCCAGATTTTCCGGCGAGCTCTTGGTCCGGGCCGAGGTGATGGCGAAATGTTCGAGGGAGTAGAAGATTGAAGGGTCGAGAGGATGAGAAGGAGAGAACCATTTCGCGTGGGAGATTGGTGTGTTTTTGTCGATTCCAGTTCGTCGGAAGATTCTGGTGATGTAATCTAACTCCTCGGAGGAGGAGGAGGAGGCCGCGGCGGCGAAGGAGGTTGTATTGGTTAGGATATCTTTCCGGACAACGTAAGTTTGAGTTTGGCTCCGACATCTAAGAAACTCTGACCTGTTTCTCGGCGGTTGAGTTTTCGTGACCTTTAACACATCCCCATATAAATTTGACTGCAACAATCATTAAATTTATCATACATCTTTTCTTTGGAAATTCCATATTTATTATGAAAAAAAGAGGGAAACTATAATACATGAATATTAGGCTTACCGGGTCCTTCTTCTTGACGGGAAGAAGACATGGAACACTTGTTAAGTTCAAGAGCTCATTCGACAGGGGAGTTTTCTTGCACTTCTTGTCTCCTTGATGATGATGATGATGATGATGATGATTACTAGAATTAGATGATTGATTACCGACCGGTGATCGAACAAACGGCTCCTCCTGCATTGTCTGAGGCGGTTTCACCAGTCTCGAACCGAATTTCATCTCGTTCTCTGCTGGTTTCTTGCATTTCTTCACGGCCTTTCTTCGAGTTTCTCGCTCTTGCTTCTGTTCTTCTTCTTGAGCCAGTTTCGGCTGCGGCTCTTCTTTCACTCTCCATAACCTTGGCTTGTCTTCCACGATCTGGGCAACATTTGTCTGTGAAGGTGGTGGTGGTTTTGCTTTCTGGTTTTCCAAGAATCTCAATCTGGGCGATGAATCATTACTTGTGTTCTTGGAAGCTTTCTTGGAATCGTTATGATGATGATGATGATCTCTAGCTTGTTCTTTGTTTCTCATGGTGTTGGTAATGTCACTGCCCATTCTTCGACTAACGCCCTCCTCCAACTGCATCACGATCTGGCTTGCGTACTTCCTTGGACTCGGATTCTCTTTATCGTCGTTCGTCTTCATCTCCTTCAGCCTCGAGCTCGAGAACCGAACATGTCCGTGTTCTTGTTCCGATTCAGACACGTTCGTGTCGTGTCTGTTGATGTGAAGAGACGACGACGTCAAGCGTTGTTGGTAACAGTCAGCGTCCGACCTCCTTCCTAACGAAATCCTCGGCGTCTCGGGGAGAGAGCGAGTGCCTCCATCGACCGAGTTCCTACGGAGAGAGTGATGTTTGTGTCTTTTGCCCTGAGTTCTTCTTGTACGGAGATTTGGTGTTCCAAGATCTACGGAAAAGGCCGATGAGCAAGTAGTAGGGGAAGAAGATGGTGAAATGAGAGATTTGTCGGGAAGAAGGTCGAGACCCATGAGTCTAGCGACCAAAGTCGGTGTCTTGGTGGTTGGAGAATAAGAAGATTCATTGCTTGTAAGAGATTCGAGTTCAGATGATCTTGTTGGTTTGGTCTTGATCTGCATATTATCATTTGATCAGTAACCAAAATTTCATATGATTGTTATCATGATTACAAGGAGAGAAAAAAAAAAGATAAAATAATATGACGAGGGAAACCCAAGAAGATAAAATTACATGGATCTATAACCATTTTTTTAAAACATAATAAATAAATTAGAAGGAAGAAATAGTAATTCACTCACAGAGAGATTCAAATGATCATCTCTTCGGATAGGTGACAATGGAGCCTCCTCTGTCGATTCCAAGCTATTCCTCGGTGCCTCCACTCCTTAATTATCATTATCATCAACATAAACATAATCAATACATAAAACATTCAAGTATATGCATACAACGCACACACACAGGTGTAAATACATATATATATATATATATATATATATATACCTTTAGGAAGAGAGTCGTCGTTTTCGATCTCACTCGTATCGGGGAAGCGGAAATGGTGAAAATCGAATAAGTGAAACACGACGTTCATACAACCTGCGACAGTTGCATCACTACTCGTCTCCTTCGTCACACTCTTGCTCCGGCTGTTTCCACCGCCCCACCACGCCGTTTTGGCATCTTTTTTCGGCTCGGAAGTTCTTCCTCCGGCCGCTCGGTACCACTCTCTTCCCATTTTTTCCGATCGGAAAACGGCGAAGAGATTCGAGGGTTTTGTATTGTCTAATTGGTAGAAGAAGAGGGGAGAGTAAGGAGGAGGAAAGAGGGAAGAGACTCGGAAGGTGTAATGCGTTGTATCATTTACATAATGCATTTAGTTTATTTTATATTGAAGTGACTTTTTTGTTTTTGCCACAAAATATTGCATTTTTTTTTTTGCAAACATATAAATGAATATCTAAAATAAAAGAAAAACAATTGAAAAGAAAATGATGAGAAGTGGGGGGATCGTGGTGGTGGCCGTCGCTTGGCTGCATGTTATTCCCCTCTGTATATGTGTATATTTGTATAGCAAAATGTATATATATTTAATACGATTTCAAATATTTAATATTTGTTTACCAAAAAAAATATATATTTGTTTACGTAGACCTTGGATAGAGAGGCTAATTATATTTAAACGATTCGCAATCCAGAATCAAAATAATATTTTTTTTTAAATATAAAAGGGTTAATTTAAACTGACGATTCCATCGTATAAAAATTCCTTACCACATAGCAAAACATGTTTTTAGACCGTTGTAATTTGGGTTTCAACTAATATACTCACGTAGACCTTTGGATATATTCCACTTGCATATATATAAATCTGATTTGAAAATTTGGAAATTTAAACTTTATTTATTTAAGTTAAAATTTTTATGCTCATGATAAATATTGCTATTCATTAATACAACCAAACAAAACTCCCGACATAATTTTACATATAATTCCATGGGCATTATGTACTTTCATATTAAACAATAAATTTTCATACTAAATAGTAAATTTTAAAATTTTTTAATGGATTTGTATTGTCTACGATTATTAGCGTCATTATCTACAAATGAACCTGGGGTTCTTTTAAAATTATATGGCCGTGTAAATAGAACTGCGGAAGACTGTCACTCCCGTCAAAACCATGGTGAATCTATTAAAATTTTAAAAAATTGGCCGTTTCGTATACGATTTAATGCATTATTATCAAATAATAATATTCCATATATTCATCTGAATTTAAAAAAAAACGAATTGAAGATTTTATACTAGATTCTCCTTATATATTTTTTTCCACTGTTTCTCAAAAAATCGAAAGATCGTAATCAAACGCTTCATGAATTAACAAGGCCGCAAGAGTGTAAACCAACTCTGTCGTAAAGTGAAGCAATATGGAGTCTGATGGCTGGAAAAATTTGGCCACTTCCGCCAATGACACTTGATGAATGCATTAGCTGGTTTTCTAATCCTGCGCACAACAAATCCAGGAATAGAGAGCAATTGGCAAAGATGCTTCTTCAGACGACGATCGAAGCAATATGGTATGAGCGCAACCAACGCATATTTTGCAACAAACGGAAGTCGCCGGGAATTGTTCGAAGAAAAATCGATAAATCTGTCCGAACAGCGCTCTTAGCGTTGGGTTTTCGGAAACCTGACTCAACTTCATCATTGTTGGAGGATTGGTACCATCTCGACATATACCACCGAAGTGTAGCTGCTATTACTTAATCTTTATTAGACTATGCTCATGTCCCAAATATGGGTTTTTGTATTACCACTTGCCATGGGATCCCGGGTTCTTTTGGGTTTTGCGGATTAAAATCCGAGTTGTAAATTTTTCTAACTTTTACAATTAATATACTTCACATTTCATCAAAAAAAAAAAACTCTGTCGTAAAGTCAGGGATCGCATATGGCTAATATGTAAATAACTAAATAAATAATAAATAATAAATAAAATGTTTCATTAAAATACGTCAAACATTAAAAAAAATAAAGAAGGAGAAATGACGATAACGAGGCCTTATCTTACAAAAGCTCAGATTGCAATGAGATTCCAACACAATTCCATGCATGGTTTCCATAACAACGATGTCCCTTTGTTGGGGATCTTCAATTGTCACCATCATGTTTCATGCTATTATCGAAATAGATAAATATTTTCATTTAGATTCGAAATATACTATCATTTACTACAAAATATATATACTATCTTTAATAATCATATAATATTGTACAACAAATTTTATTATATGGATTCATTTTATTGATAATGAAATGAAAGAGGGATCGAATGTGAGAATGTATAGATTTGTTGGTTATATGCTTTGCTATTTATCTCTGTTTAGTCATTGTTAATATATTCACAACTAACCCATTAAGTGTGCATACAATAAAATTTTAAATTATATATGTTGAACACTCAAAAAATGAGATATGAGGTTTCTCAAAACAATTATATCGTATATTCTATGATTTTAGAAAAAAACATACATATTCCCATTCATGTGTTATGTGTTGAGAAATTCCAATAAGTTTAAACTATTTATATGTTTGTTTTAAATAGTAATATTCTAATTATCTGAATCTTATTTAAAATCTACTCGAATGATCTGACGTTCATTATAGCGGTTTTGGCAAATATAATAAATTCTTTTTGGTGATGGTATGAACCAAAATAATCTTAGTAAAGTAGGAAAATATCAATTTGCAGGCACTAAAACTGTCATTTTTATATATAAAAAAAATTCAAATATCTTTTTTGGTTCATTCGTCTTAGAGTTGGTGATGGAATTTATGATCGTTTTTCAATTTAATATCACCTACTCGAAATTTATTGTAATGTTCTCTATCATTCCTTCATATGGCAGAGAGATGACAACAAGAGTTCAAATTCAGAATGGTTGATTGAATATAATGAATATGAATCTTACAACTTGTCATAATTTCACGAATGTGGCCGATCCATCTAAATGTGCATGCCCACCACAAGATTTATTGCTTCTTCAAAATTAGTACACCCAAATTATTTCAATCGTATCTATCTCTGTCCTTCATCTCTGGAATATGTGCACGAAACAAATGTTTACGTGGGTTGTAATCACAAAAAATGTAATATTATATATATATATATATATATATATATATATATATATGTGTATGATCTATAATATCTGTGTATATTTTTCACTCCAATGAAAAACAGCATCAAGAGAACATAAATATAATTCCATGCACGTACAAGATCATACATATATATATATATATGTATGTATGCGTGTATGATGTATAATATTTGTGTGTATTTTTCAGTTCGGGCAGGCGGATCAGAAATGGGTTCAGAGAATTATATTCATCATTACAGTTTCGAAGAAGAATTTATTTGAGTTTGGTCGTACCATGTACTTAGTTGACCGACTTGGTTACGTACGTTAGGAATTATCAACCGACTGATTCCTGTGTACGGTACAAATCCGGTTTAGCCTTGGTTTAACCACACCAGAGTGTTCAATTAACTTCGGTACGGTACACCATTTCACGTAATTAACCTGGAGAGAATACTTTGAAAACCTCTATATATGAACTCTATCATGCATGCATCTCTCACCGTCTCCCAATTAATTAATAGAGAATCGATGAATTTTTCAATTATTTAACATAGAACATTACACTATTTAACCCCAGTATGGGTGGTCTAGTGATTATGGGAATACAAAGTGTTCTCTCCGTCCTATCATTCGAGTCCAATATTGACATTCACCTATATAAAAAATTATAAAAAAACATTATAAATGGTAAAAAATAAAATCATATAATATCTTATTTAATCAAAATAAATATTTAAAATATATAAATAATATTACATCTAAATATTATTATACTCTTCCCAAACGATTTTCTCTAATATTTTTCATATATCTTCATATTAATCATTTAATTGGTTCGGAATGTAGATAAGATGCTGGAAGAAAAGAAACCCTAGAATATTCTGGAAAATATTTATTAGGCGATTTGAAATTTCAATAATGATATAATGTAACCGAAGGGAGCAGTACGGAAAACATAAGCATAGTTCAATAAATACGTTGTCTGGACAGAAAATGGAAACATGTATATAAATATGCAAGCCACGAACGCATGTTGCACGTACCTTAGCCTATATATAGTTGTTACAGTTTTGTCCACTCTAATTTATAACGTACCAAATGGATGTACATTTTCTTGGCATCATTCTTTCACGATTTGTAAAATAATTCAAATGTGAGAGAAAAATAACTCTACTATGCATCTCACATGGTTCCATTTGAAAATTTTCAAGGTCGCGGTTTTTTTAGGTCAATATATATTATTGTATAAATAAGCTCTTGGATAAATTACTGTATCGAAATCATGGGATTTTAGAAGATGAAAAAAGAGATTCCTGACATATATTTTTTTTATCTTATATTAATCGAAGCTTTTACATAGGCAAAAATGCAAAGAAATGATATAATGAATTAATTGCCGAAAATAATTTGGGATTATTCTTAATCACCATTCACAAATATAATTATAGCGATTTTAGATAATACACTTGATTTTTTTTTCCTCCTGACGCTAGTCAATAATACCTAATAAAGGCCTATACACGATGGAGACATATGATTGGGTCCAAATTAAGTGAAGCCTAATGGAATGGGCTTTGTATCAAAAGGAGATTTATCACATCGTAAGAATATTTCTGTTTTTAACAAAAAAAAAAAGAATATTCTGTCGATTTCATTCGAAATTTCGTAGATTTTCGTCGTTTCAATTGAAAATTCCTGTTATAAATTCGATTCTGCCATTTTTATTAATATACCGATATGCTTATTCAGAATTTCTATGAATAAGATTATTTGTAATTTTATAAATGTATAATTTCAAGAGATAAAAAGAATAAGAGAAAAATATATTCCCCATCGTCCTAATTTCCCTTTCTAATTTACAAGCTAATCTATCATTTTTTTTTATAATCTAAAAGTTCGTCGGATTTTTGGTACGACTACATCTTGCAGAAAATCGAGGAAATCCAGAAAATCGAGGAAATCCATGTGAATGCTCTTCTCCAAATGAAAACTCGAATCCGGATTGAAAAAGAGCTTTGGTCCCTTCTTTACCGATTGAACTATCCAATCTTGGTTTTTATCGGTTATTTTCTTTAGCTTCTAGAGCATTTCCCATGGATTTGATACGCTGACGTTTTCAACTACTCTTTTGCACTGTTGCGCACAGAAAAACCTTTCTAGCGCGACGAAGTACAGATTAGGGGTGGGCG